TACTTGTTGGATAGTTTTTAAGTAAGAAGGGAGCGGAAATTTTTTGAAAATGTCCCTAAACGGCACAGAAGCTATACTGCTAGTTTTAAGCTTAATGTAATTTCACGTGCTAAACAAATTGGAAATCGAGCAGCAGCTCGAGAGTTTGAAGTGGACGACAGATGTATTTGACGTTGCAGAACTGAAAAAGAACTTTAAAGCATATGCCACAACAGAAATGAGCCAAAAGAAGTGGTACTGTAAGGTGGCCAAATCTAGAGAACGACCTTGCAAACTGGATAAAGGAGCAACAAGGAAAGGGAATGGCAATTTCGACTGTAAAAATTTGCTTACAAGCAAAATTTATAGCAAAACGAATGAACATAAATGATTTCAAAGGAGGTAAAGCAGATTTATGAAAAGAAAAAATATTCTATGCGTACTAGAAAACAACAGTTGGGCAACAATTACCAATGGACAGGCAGGAAAAAAAGTTATCTATTGACTAAAATATGTGAACAGCTATTATTGACCAAAAAAAAAAAAAAAAAAAACTTCGGTTACAGATAATAAATATGGATGAAATATGAAATGCCGTTAGCTTTCGACTCTCCTGTTAACAGAACTGTTGATGAAACAGGTGCAAAAACTGTATCTGTGTTTATGACGGCGGCATGAAGAGAACGCCATTTACAAGTGTGTTAGCTTGTGCCACAAACGGTGACAAGCTAAAGCCGATGATCATTTCTAAACGAAAGACTATTCCGAAGAGAGATTTTCCATGATGACGTAATTATTTGTTGCAAACGAGAACGGCTAGATGTGCGAAACAATTCATGCATGAGTGGCTACAAAAAGTTTGGTAGTATCATATGGGATCTTTTTTCCAACCAAAGGGTATTGATAATGGATTCCATGCGTGCTCATTTCTTTGAGGTCAGTGAAAACCAGATGTCAAAATTGTCTACGACCGAAGCAATAATTCCTGGTGGTTTGACAAAATCTTACAACCGTTAGATTTGTCAGGTAATAAATCCTTCAAAGCTGAAGTCCGAAAGCGGGGGAGTGTTGATGAGTGAAGGATGCATACGTAAACCAAAAAGCGGTAAAATACGCGTCCAGCATCTTATGAAGAAATTGCAAAGTGGCAGGAAGTGCATGGAAATTGGTAAACATTGTCAATAATAGCAGGGTTCAAAGAAGCTGAAATTATATCCTTAGAAAAGAGACTGTAAACCAAGAGGATGAATGTGACGATCTGGAAGACTTAGATCAGGATTTACAAATCTTTTTAATTCAGATAGTGAAAAATCAGATTTTGATGGCTTCCTATGATGTTATAGTTTGCTGTAATTCATAAGGAAAATTTAAAATTTCCTTTTGTCATGCAAATTTAATATTTTGTTGTTGCAACATTTTTATAATATAGTCGAGTATTACAAATATGGACTTCTTTAGTGGGTTAATATAAAGTACTGTATATAACCGCATATAAGTCGAGATATTTTGGACAAAAAAAAGACTTCAAAGTGGGGGTGTCGACTTGTACGCAGGCCATAGACAATTTAAAAGAATCGGAAGTTCAAAAATTTCTTATATAAATAATGCAGTTGTTTTCTTCCCGCACTCAAATTGGACGACTTATCAAATAAGTCATTTACTTGAAGTAATTTTATGACTTAAAATTATGTGATGAACTAATCACAGAGTTTCATACTTTAACTAGAGTAGTTTCGATTAAACCAAAGAATTTTCGGCCCCCGAAACAACCGATCAATATCGAGCAATAAAAAAGTTTAGCCAACACGCCAAGAAAAGAGAAACGCAGATAGTTTTTACGTACGTATAAGTCTTTATATAGTTATTGTTCATTCATGAAATACTTTGTTAACAGGCGTACACGTCAAAAAAATCTAAAAACGATTGTGGCCGTAATTCCGGGAGGATTGACATTCCGTCATTCAATCCCTAGATGTCTGCCTCAATAAACCCGTTCAAAGTAAATGTTAGAAAATATTGGACAGAGTGGACTAGTTCCGGTCGACTGACATTTACAAAGGGAGGCAACATTAAAAAGCCCGATATTACATTAATTTGCTTCAGTGGGTTAAAGATGCTTGGAACGAAATACCCTCTGAATGATTATAAAATCATTTAAAAAATGTTGTATTAGACGGCATGGAGATGATGCTGTTTTTGAAAGTGAAAATGGCGACGAAGGCTCTAGTAGTGATTGTAACAATACAGAGTTCGAGACTGAAAATATGTATGATGACAGCCAATGACGACAGAAGAGTTCTATGAAATGTTTGGCGAATCTGACCATGAAATCGGACGTTGAAGGTTTTGATTTTGTTTATTTACCAGGTATGTTTATCGTATATTTACTGTTTTTTCTCAGATGATTTAGAATAAATGTAGTACTTAAAACATTTTTTCGAAGTTTCTCGATGGATTTCAGAAGTGGGGGGGGGGGGCGTCGACTTATACGCGGGTATATACGGTATATACGTGAAGGTAAATATATTTTCCACATTTCTTACCTTTAATTTATTTTTGAGTTATGGTTTCATTTCATACATTTTTCTTAACTGGTATGTCATATGTCAGGACTTAGGTTGAGTTTTTGCATCTATACGGCCCACGACGATGTCACACGCAATTTAATCTATTGCGACGTTTAAGCTGATACGCCGTTTCTGTGTAATTTAAATTTTTTTCCCGCCATTTTTCTTGAGTGCGGCGTTTGCGCTGATGCGGCCTTTTTTCCGGAAATTACGGTAAATTATATATATATATGGCCAGTTACCATATTTCATGGTAACGATGGTGAAGGTGATAACCACAAATTTGAAGGTTTTCGGATATCGCAAACCAAAGGTGAAATTTTCCAATATATGGATTCTGTAAAGAAATGTGGAGAAGTGTTAATAAATGAAGATGATATAACAGAAGTTTTTCATTGTGATGACAATCCTTCTCAATCATCAATCAATTAATGAATGGCGAAATCTGTAGTATAGTTCTAGATCCAGAAAATACGCTACTGATAGTGAAGAAAGTGACAGAGAAGGTTACTGACAACGAGAAAATTTTGATTGACAAATTATCGGAATTCTCGAAACAGCAGTTACAGGACTTCAACAATGTACTTGTAACTGAACAAAGGATTATGCCTGTCTACAGAATTAAAGAGAAATGTATTAGCGCAAAAAACGGAGCAATCTTAAACAACTTGCATTGAGAGAAATGTTTAATAAGTAAACAAATAAATATTAAGCCTTTTTACTTCCTTGTACGAAGTAAAAAGGAAGTATGGTAATCTCAAAAGTTTCAGGCACATATTTCAATGCAAATATCCATTTTCACGGCTATCGAATGCAATTTAATGATGTTTTTGCATGACATCTCTTTTCCCCCAAAAAATTATAAAACTAATTTAAAATGAATTCTGAAGACGTATGTATCTCGCATAACTCAAAAACGAGTAGCCTCAGAACGTTGAAATTTGTATATGGACAGCTATAACATGTAGGATGCTATAACATGTCGTATTTTGGTTGGCAATCCAGCCGCACCAAAAATATAAATATATATATATATCCACACTGTTACCCAGCTCAGAGCTCAGTTTTTTAATTCTTATATGTTGTAAATTGTACATTTTTTGCTTTAATGATTGAATATGTTTTTTTATCTTCGGTAAGGTTTTTATGCCTTTAGTAAATCTGTTGCAATATTGTGGGAATTATTATTTAAAAGTTGTTTAAGTCCGTAAGCCTAATTTTTTTATGCGGCCATTGCTTTTACATTGAACAGAAATAGTAATTTTTAAGCTTTAACAAAGATAATGTATTTAATTACGTTTTCCCCTTTGTTTTTCCCTCCTAATTTTTTTGAATATCATGCGGGCAATATTTTTTGTTTTGTTTATAAAATTTTTTTGGCTTCCGGCAAAGATAACAGCCTTCTTTTGTTATTGCTTCCAATAACAAAGATAATGCCTTCTTTTATTTGCGAAGTAAAAATGAGTTTTGATTATTCTATTTTCAGATTACAGATTTCTTGAGTTTTTTTCATTTGCTTTGGCGCAAAGTGAGAATTGAATTAATGAATGAGAAATACTGAATCATCTGTGAAAAACTTTTTTTTTTTTTTTTTTTTTTTTCGGTTGTAGTTGCTTAATTTCTTTTTATACATCATTTAGATTTATTAAGTATTTGAATACAACATGTGGCATGATTAGATAATTCTTAAGATGATATAAATTTTATGCATTCTGAGTTAGAAATGAATGAAATGTAATGCTGTTAAGTGAACCTAGGGCCAGAGTGTCGCTATGGTAACCAAATATAGTGAATTTTAAAGAGCACATTTATTCTATTTTGGGTTATGCACAATCGACAAAGTAAATATTTAATTCAATCCAAAATTTAAATAAAATGCAGAAAAAATGGGTTATAATTTAATATTCTGTACAAGGAAGTCATGTGGTGCACACATCAGATTTTTTTTTAAATTTGACCACTTCAGAACTAAGTGCTTCATTATTTCATAAACCATGATTCATATTTTAAATTTCCGCATGCCATCTTACTAGATTTAACTGATGATCTAATATCTGGAAAAATCTCAAATCCGGAATCGCCAAAGTCCCAATGAGTCCGGATCTTGGACTTTGTACTGTATTTCATTTCTGAGTATTTGTGAATTACATCAACTAAAAGCATACCAATGATATCTTATCATATTATCTAAAAATTATGTTAGTCACAATCCATTTAAATTCTTCTATCAGCTACATTTATGTATCAAAATGGGAGGATTTAAATAAAAAATTCTTTTTATCTGAAAAACAGCAAATTGTAAAAGAAGGGGTATGGAAGAAGAGTGGGAAAAATTTTCAGATATTGCAAGACTATAGAGCCTGAATATAGTTAGATCGGTTTGTCACAAATTCTGAAAAATTGCATGCATATTCAAATACTGAAAAATATTCCAATAAAAGTTTTAAAACTTACCAATATCTAATGCCACCTCAGGATCAAGCCTGCTGTTTTCTAATGCTATAATTTTCATTGGCACTATTTCTATATTATTCCCAGATTCTTTAAAACCCAAAATATCCTTAAATTTCTTGAGAAGATCAGGAAATTTTCTAGGGATTGAAGAAAAGAACGTTAGTAGGGGGAGGGGGGGAAACACCTTTAACCAGAAAAAGAACATGATTTTTAAGTTTCAGTTCTAGTTCTGTATAATAATGCGCCAATACACAAACTGCAATTTATATGCGAAATGAAAAATTCTGAATTCTCTATTCATTATATGTCTTTCATTTTATTCATGACCATAAAATTCAAATAATTTACTCAAACTTTTTTGGGGGGAGAAGCTAAAGTATAATGCATATTTATTAAGCTGTTCAATTAAACATTCTAAGTCCAAAAAAAGCCACATAGTATATAAATAAACTAATAAAATGTGAAGTTAAATTCAACAAACTACATAAACTAAAAATATAACACTGAATATGTATATCAGATGTCAACAAAAGTTTGATGGTTATGGCAATACAATTTGGTAACATCTCCATAACATTAGTAAGTTATTCACATCATGAAGTAGTTAATACCCATAAAAGTTGATTCAAATTGCCCCCCCCCCCCCCCCCCCCCCCCCCCCCCCCCCCCCCACCCCCCCCCACCCCCCCCCCCCCCCCCCCCCCCCCCCCCCCCCCCCCCCCCCCCCCCCCCCCCCCCCCCCCCCCCCCCCCCCCCCCCCCCCCCCCCCCCCCCCCCCACCCCCCCCCCCCCCCCCCCCCCCCCCCCCCCCCCCCCCCCCCCACCCCCCCCCCCCCGCCCCCCACAACAATCCATCATGACATATAAGTAGTAATACCATAAAGTTTATTCAAAATAGCTGACTACAGAACCTTTTAATAAGGATAAACATAAACTAAATGAGAAATCAGTGTAGGCTTTCTCATGTACTCCACAATGCTGGAGGAATACATGGCTCACATTGCTTGCATCTCAATGTAAACATGGATTTACCATTTTCTAACATAGAATTTTTCTTTAATATGGATCTGGATTTTAAAGTAACTCAATTTTCCAATAACTGCCAGTTAATAATGAAAGAAATTGTATAAGAATCTAAGATAAGTACAGTAATTATCTACACTGTGCCGCCCAGTCAGTATAGTGGTCAGGGAAGCTGACTGTGATGCGATGCCGGCTTTGAATCTCGGAGAAGGCATGGTTGTAACTGTCCGTCCCTTCATAGGAAAGGCGATGGTGGCCCACCTATTAGGTGCCTCCATAATAAAGACACCACCACATCCAGCCATGTATAGATTAATGGACTGGGTTACACTTGTAATTGTTCAAAATCTGTTATTGGGGGGGATTATCTACATTGTACTTAGAGAATACTGTTTGGATGTTACAGGAGCTGCAAAATGTGCAGAGCAATTTGAAGATATTCAAGCAATTAGATGCATTATATTCTCAAAGAACTACACTTTTATTTTTAAATTAAAAAAGTTTTTTTCTTTCTTTTCAAATTCTGAAATTAATTTAAAAAACTTAAAAATTTTCTGGTCATTTATTTTATTAAAACTAAAATACTACAATAAAATTTCAGATGCCTAAAATAATACTAATGTATTTTAATAACAAACATTTCTTTAAGAAATATTTAATTTAATCTTTGATTCTATCATTCATTTAAATAAGTATAATATACTCATACATTCAAGTTTTTCAGAAAAGTATCATTACTATTAGCAATATAACTATGTTCTATTTATTCATCAAGTTAAAAATTTTTATATAATTTATAACACCAATCAGAATGCTTTATGAATTTGAAGCGACATGAAAAACAAAACAAACAGTTTGTCTGATGAAGGTCACTGTGGTAATAATTATTTGTATTTCTTCATAAAAATGTATTATTTGTATTTATTTTCACATTCATCAAAAGTCTGCATTTAATACTTTTGACAATATTTCAGTTTATTTAATTATAATATTTTCAAATTTTTACTCCCTTTCTTTTTTTATAATGTTAGTTTTTACTTTCACTAAATGCACTGACATTAAAACACAAATTAAATACACATAGAAATATTCTTAATATATAAAACTTTAAAAATATAACTTTAAATGCACATATATATAAATGTTCTCAAATTGAAAATGAAGGAAAAAATTAGAGTTTGAAATTGAAAGATAAATATTGTGCTATATATATTACAACTATGTCATTTTTTTATTTTAAATTTACTCTTGAAATTTTACCCTAAAAATGAGGTAGCCAGTTGAAGCAGTTCAGATCTTGTAACAACATCTTCATTGTACAGCATTAAGCAACGTAAAAAATTATCATAAACTTCTCTATGTCCCACTGCTGCTCTCACCTAGAATTTTTAAATCATATCAATAAAACTCATTTATATATAATACAAATTCTAAAATAATCTGATTTAGACATTAGATATTATTTATAGCAAATATACTAACTAGTAGTCTGCTTCATAATTAAAACTATAAAATAAATAGATTATTATTATTGCTATTTTTTGTTATAGCGAGATATGTGTAAAATAAGTCATAATATAGAGTGGTATACATTTATGTGAAAATTATGCTAACTGTAATGAAATCCATAATTGTAGCATAAGCTAAGCTTATATATATTTGTTAAGATGAAAGTAGACCTACTCACAAACAATTTAACAAACAAACCATCGATAATGCAGATCAGTATGATTACAAATGTCAACATATGTGCTTTCTGTGAATATAAGGAATTTTAATAATACCCCAAAAATCTGGAAACAAACACAATACATATGATTGCACACAATAATTTTAAATATCTCTGACACTATTTCAGTACGACTGCAACATGATAGTACTCAGTTCAGGTTAATCCTGAGAGACTGAGAAAGCCCTCCACGAAGGCATCCCTCCCCTTAGGCAGATAGCCCTCGAGGCTTTGCTGTACCAGACCAAATCAAACCAAGCTGAGAGACTGAAATAGCATCCTACCACACTATTCTTCTCTCAATTATGGAGATTCTCTGAGAATACATATATCCAAAACAGCACACAAAATTTGGACATAACATTGGATAAATTATCTTGAAAATACAATTGAACCCCATTATAACAAGCTTCAAGGAACTGGAAATTTGATTAACTATATACAGGAATTTGCTATTCCCACTAGCTAAGAAAAATGAATCATCTCCCAAAAATAAGTAAAAATTTATAATAATGCATTAAAAACTGATTAACATTGTCACACCTGCCAAAAGAAGTAAATAATAACTCAATTAAAAATCATATGATTTAATAACAATTATAATTATGCAAAGTGAGGGGTGATATCAGTCTGTTTCAAGTGGTGCCCCCATTTAAACTAAACAACTGATACCTATCGCCTTAAGTGGCCCTCATTGATGTAGAAGTAGAAAGCATTTTTGACTTGGTGATAGGTGCAAGTTCTTAAGGCTTTTAGAAGTAAAGACAGAAATGAAGCAAAACGTCTTTTCTAAGACTAGGACTAAACCAGCTTATAAGATTTCTTTTTGGAATCTTGGTGGTTTAACTCATGATAAATTTACTGAATTGAAGACTATTATTTCTAATCATGATTTTGATGTAATGGGCATTGTTGAGAATGGAGCCGCTGCAAACAATGAAGTTATTTTAATATTCCTGGATATAGGAAATTTGTGTTAAAGCAATCAAGACAAATTGCTTCTGGCATTAGTGTTTTTGTAAAACTTTCTTTAAAGGCAAAGTTGGCAAAGTTAATTGCCTCTCGCTGGATGATTACTAACGATAATTTAGAACTCCTGAAAATACATGTATGCAGACAAGATACACTACGTAAGATATTCTTCTTGTACAATCCTCCAAATAATAAACCCTATTTTAAAAGACTAATACTCGATTGGGATAGAAATTCACTTATACTTGGAAACTTCAATGCCCCCCCCAACTTGCTGGGATTATTCACCATCAAATAGTATTAGTCGAAAATCTTATTGATTCCAACCCTATTGATTTCATTGAGAATGAATGAAATTCTCCAGATTACCTTTCTTACAATGGAAGTGTCTCTCCTGATTTACTCCTAGTTCACCCAGCTCTGTCATGTAAAATACAGCATGAGTTAATTGATAGTCCTGGTGATGCTGGGACAAAATATTTCTATCCAGTATGGTAAAATATAAATCCCCTTAGTTGAGCAAATGTTTTCGAAGCAATAATTTGAACCGAGGGACTTCCAAATCCCTCTATGATTACCCCTGTTGGGGTTCATAGCCCTCCCTCCCGGAGGGGCGGGGAGTAAAATGCCGGCAGTCATTACATCATCACGTTCCCCTTCCAACAGATTGGAAAGGATTTAGAAACTTGGCAACTGCGTTCACCGGCAGACGATCACTTTCTATTTGCTAGGGGGAGAAGCAAATCACAACTTGGTCGGAATTTGCCGAAACTGTGGTGGCTTCAACTGAGTGGCTGGTCGAGCAGGTGCTGACGGATCATGATTATCGACTCATTTGGTGTTGGCGCATAAGGGCAGCTATCATTAATGGTACGTGTATTGGTGTATTATTTATTGACTTTTCTGGATTATGTCGAATTAGGTTATAGCAGATTTATTTATTCCTTTGAGAAAGGGGGAAAGCAGAGGCAGCTATGCAAAGCTGATGTTGGGATCGAAGGTATCATTCTGCAACATGAAACACTTGGCATCACCCCGGCCTCAGCACTGGTGACCCATATAAATTATACAGAGTAATAATTGAAACTAAAATATATACAATCTTTGCTGTACTTTTCCCGTTGGCCATGAAAGTTAGCAGAAATCTCACCCAAACTGCACCAGTGGTTCCAATGGACGTTTGAAAGGATTTTGAAATGTCTCTTCTAATGCAAGTCTTTAACTACAAGCGCTTGCGCCGCCAAGCAGCCTAAAATAGTTATCATGGAAAAAGACAAATACGTAATGATTTCAATCAGTTCAGCTAGTGTCATATCATAAAAACATTTAATATTTTCAACTCAGGAAGCCTCGTTAAGTTTCCTGGAACTTTAAAAAGGCAAACTGGTTCAACTACAAAGGTCTCGCAGATAAATTTATAACCAACTCCTTGGTTTCCCCAAATCTTGAACATTCTTCAAAACTCTTTACCCATGCTATACTAAAGTGTGCTTCTCTATGTGTCCCAAGAGGACAACATGCGATATGCGATGGAGGACGTAGGCATCACCCCTCTACCAATACGGTTAATCGGTATAGCGCCACGTCTATCTTTATCTAGATAACCATACGTGGTCATTACGCTAATATACTAATACATAAACATACATACAAATTTGGTACTTAATACAGTGGCGTTAAAGCTAATTAATGTTAGACACTGGATAATACATTGCCATGTTACAAGGTGTATGCAAAAGCATGGATACAATAGCATATATACATAACGTGTGTACTCATATGTTGAGTACACTATGATCCTTTGAAGCATTATCATTAGATACACAAGACATGCACATACTGAAATATTAGGTGCGCAATGTTATGCTGGAATAAGTAATTAGTACAGTGAATTAAAAGTTAGACTGTAGATTAGTACTGTATGTGTGGTACAGTGTCTTGCTATTGGATTATTTGTGCTGTTTCCTAAGTACATTAACCAATATACAAAGATATTAAAACACGTGTATTAGGTACACGGTAATCAGTGGGTACCCAAGCGTTAGGTAAGTGCTACTTTAACATACATTAACAATAGGTACTTAATACAATGCTGAACAGATAATTGGTGCAATTAATTTTAGAGTGGGACTTTTAGTTTGATTTTTGGGATACAGTGCCGTGTGACAGGATAAAATGTGCAAATGCATAGTTACATTATCATATATACAGAACATAAATTCATATACATACATATACAGACATTTTGAGTACAGACACATTAGGTACACGATTATTCAGTGCTTAATAGATGTACATCAACTATACAGTGCCAAGATATGTGATAATACTAATAGATACATGGGTACAATTACATATAAACAAGGGCATACAAACACAATTACATATAGACAAAAGCATATATACGCTTATATTTGGTACATATTATTCATTGGTGGCATAAACATATGTTACTTACTTCATATACTTACATAAACTCTAGATCTATAAAATAATGTTATAACTAGTAATAGGTGCTTTTAAATTCATATTAGGACACTAGGTTGATATTTTGCCTTACTGTGTCACGTTACATAGAAATGTATGCGGGTGCATGGGTACAGCTTCCTATTTGCAATGCTATACTGTACTACCTATTTACAATGCTTATATCATTCGATTTCATAATCAATAGGTACATGGCACATTTATATACATGAGCAGATGGTACATTGTAGAGTGTCACTGAGGATAATTGATGCAATTAATTTTATAGAATTTTAAAAATAATGCATTTATACGCAATTATAAGGTGCGTATAAATGCATTATTTTTATATATAATAATCAGATTTTCAGACATTAGGATACATTATATACATATATATATATAAACAGATGGTTCATAATACAGTGCTATAGAAAGTAATAAATGCAGTTAATTTTATAGTAAGATTCTAGTTTAACACTATGCGAAACGGCTTCATGTTACACAATGTTAAATACTGACGCATGAATACAGTAATATTTCTACTTGTTAATACTATATATATATACAAAAATATTAGGTGCATAATTAACATAATTACACATTAAGTGCATTATGCATATACATACATAATACATAAGATACTTAGTACAATTCATTGGTGCTGTTAGTTTTAGTGTAAGATCCTAGTTTAACGCTGTGCAATACAGTGCCATGCTACAGGATGATATGCATGGAGCCATGGATTCAGTTATATACATACTAAAAACACGTATACACAATTATTAGGCACATAGTAATCATTGGATTTATAAGCATTATATACATGGTACATATACAGGATACGATACATATATAAGATGCTATAGAAGTTAGTAGATTCAATGCAATTTTTTTAGAATTAAGACTTTAGATTAAACACTATGCGGATAAAGTGTCATGTTGCGTGATGTATATTCGGATGCATGGTTACATTATCATATATACGAGGATATATATACATAGTATTAGGCACATAGTAATCATTGGGCTCATGCAATCTTAATGCCTTAGACATAAGTCTACGTAGACTTGAAAGTACGTAATAAGGTTCAATTGGTGCTATTAATTTGATGATGCTAAATAATATTAATACAATAATGCAGCAATGATTAATACAGTTAATGAAATACAGTAACATTTATACTAGAACATATATATACAAATACAAGG